ATCTGGTAAAATAATTTTCCCACAATGATATGAGTTGAGTCGCGGTTCGACTCCCGCTGATGGTGCTGATAAGACCGATGCGAGGTCAAAAGTGCAGTCAACCCTGGATGATAACAACTTTTGTGAAAGCAAGACTATGTAAAATACAATTGAAGCGTCAGCTCAACTCATATCATTGTGGGAAAATTCTTCTTCTACCAGTCCTTCATCACCTTAACGAAATTGGGTGAATACATCTCGTATTAAATTAAATTAATAACAACAGCCCAATCATTTATAACCCAAAAAGTGCTAAAAGCCAATCGATAGTTAGTGTAATCAAAGCAGGGAATTCTAAAAGTAGCTCACCCTGCCTTCATAAAAGTCGAAGTCAATACCGACCGTAAGGCGACCAACATCAGTCATATCTTGTGGAGTCCCGGCTTCCAGATGATAGTTACTCAGAGCCAGCCCAATTGCTACGATAAGGACTTTGTCGCCAATGGCCAGACAACGCCGCGAATTTCGCGGCAGAGGCCATATGGGACCGAAGGCGCGTGGCACGTTAGGTACCGCTGAGCCTGGGACAGCGAGAGCCCAGGTCGTTGGCATCACCCCGGTAGAATTCACAACAGACGGATCAGAAACTTCCGACTCAAGGACATAGCCTGGCTGGCAGGTGCAAGAGTAACCCCCAGGCTGATTTACGCAGTAGTGGTCACAAAGGTGACCATGATTCCAAGCCTGCTGTCCATTGGTGGATTTAAAAATAGTTAAAGGCACTGGCAATGCCTCGGTACACTCATCGATGTCCGTACATATGTAGAGTGGACCAGTAGACTGGAATAGATATAAACAGTGGATGAATTTAGCATTAAATATAAGGTTAAAGAGATTAAATTGAGAACGATATTCTGCTTATATTCATACTTTAAATGCCTTCAAACTCAATAGTGTTTAACAGTCACCCTAGAGATAGCCAATATAAATGAGCAGAGGTTATTGAGCCAAAATATTTAGCGAATGATTAGAGGAAAAATCGAGCATGGCAAAGAACCTGGCCAGAATGTGGTTGATTAATTTGTGAGATGACCAGACTTTGAATTTTGATTACATGATTTTGAAAACCTAGTAAATTCCCAGCATAAGTCCAGATAAAATTTAACTGCTTACTAAATATGCACATATACGTACTGGAATTCAGAAAAAAAACATTTCTTTTTAAAAAAAAAGCAAAATCAGAGCTAACCAATTCTTAAATGATGACAGGGCAAAGGACTGGCGATGAGCGAATCAAGCTGATAAAATCATCAAGCCTAAAGTAAAGGGTCAAAAAACAGGCTCCATGAAGCCAAAATATCATGATATGGGGCATAAGTTTCAAATGAGTACAAACTAGTCGCAACCTTCAAAATAGAACGCAAACAATAAACTTGGTAAACCGAGATGTGCAGACAGCTTTGAGTGTGGGGCAGATAAAACAAGTAACACTCAGATAAATGAAAAAAATTGACAAACTACGAGTCCCTTAATTAAATTGGTTTATATACTCGAATGGAAAATAACTCAAAAAACGTAAGTGCAGCCGGAAAATCTACTTATAACAGTATTAAGTTAAATGCATTCAAATAGATGAGACCACAAATTAGGTCGTAATAAAAGATGGACTAGATAGTGATAAAAACCAATGGGGAGAAATATAAGAATCCACTGAAGATATTTAATTGCACTTCAAATATAATATACAAACATGGTAACCACGAGTGAATTTCTTTATAATATATAAAAAACAGATGAAAACGCAGATACAGAGAAAACATTTATGGAGCTAAAATTGTGAGTCGATATTAAAATATAAGTAAAAATAAACGAGTAAACCAACGAGCCAAGAGTATATAAAAATCCATGTTTCCTGCCTTCTCCCCCCCCCTTAAAATTTATGCTTTTAAAGTCAGGTCACATTATTGTGAAGACTTTCATTTTGTATAAAAATGCATGATTAAGATATTCGTATGTCAATGTCACCAGAAGACGCCAGGTGATTCCCGTTGTACTGCAGCCGTTTGGCTTCAATACAACGTTCAAATTGATTTAATCCACGAGACATCCCCCGAGGTTTTAGGCGAGGCCAAACAGCTGCGATACAACGGGAATCAGCCGACATCTTTTGGTGAGATTAACTTACGAATCTCCGCATCACGCACTTTCATACGAAATGAAAATCTTTACAACAATTTTATCTAAGGAAATTCTTCAAAACCCGCATTATATTAGGCTAAATTGTAAAATAAAATGAATGAAATGTTCAAATGATAAACGTTATAGATTGTTGAAGTCTGTTTATACAAGGTTTCTCGTCGACTCCATTTAAAACTCAGTTGCTCCCAAATGGAGCTCAAACCATGGAAATGCGGACCAATGAGCAAATAGGTTATAACCATTACTCAAATAAACCCTTTCGCTTAACTTTATAATATATACATATGTATTTGACCTAAAATTAAAACAGGTTTTAAGGCTTATAAGATTATGCTGAAAGTTTATCAACCCTCCCTCTTGTAATTTAACTCAAGTCTAAAGATACTCACTTCATTGCTACCAACTAGCCGCATGCCAGTCGGACATGGACAATAGGCATGAGTCCAATGATTTACACAGCGATCCGGGCAAATAGGACGACCTTCCAGGGGATAGCAAGCATCCAGTTGACAGGCTCCATCGACTAGACCGGGCCTCTCATCAAGTTCGTTTGGGCAGTCGGGCCGGTCGTCGCAGACCTGATCAAGGGGAAAGCAAGGCCCGTGACCAGTGCCAGAGCAATCAAAAGTCAGCAACGGATCGCATGAAGGCCGGAGTTTCGTGACTAAAATTTTAAATTTCGCACAGTGTTCTAGAATATGTGTATGACCAAATTCATTTTCATTTGCTCATAAGCAATCTTTTTTTGGAAAGAAGAAATAAGTAAAAATAATTAATTGGTATTACAATTTAATTTAAATTTCGGGTAGAAGTAGTTTGATCTTGTTTTCGCAACTTGGTCATATTGGTAAGAAGATCTAGAGTAACGCAGCTAGTCCGAAGTCCATAATACGAATGATAATTTTATTGCGAAAACAAAGTCAAACAACTTCTATACAACGAAAAGAAGCTGCGACCATACAAAAGGCCACAATCTTGGTCTTAATACCTTCGATTAAACTTATAGTAGTTCATAAACTCCACATTAAGATAAATATAGGTACATCTTGAATATTCCTACAAATTAATTCCTGAATAAAAGACCCAGACTTATCGGCTTAACAAAGAATATAGAATAGTCACAGAGGAGCTAATAAGAGGCCCTATACTCTAAAATAGAATGGTACTTGCTTAGTAATTGGCAATAATACTTAATAAAATCAAGATATGATATATTTATATATTCGCTTATTCTTGAGTTATAAAAAAAATTTGATGAACACAACAGATGGCTAGAAATAATCATTCTCTAGTAAATTACAGAAACTCTATTGAGGAATTTCTGTAAAGGTAATATTTTGGAGCTAGCGATATGTGATCTGTTCCTAGCAAAAGCAATATAAAAACGTTTTGATCCCGGTATATTTATAACAATTTGTAAGGCAATTACTGAGATAGTAAAAAATGCAATCAACTCGGACTCCTTGAAGCAATACGTCTATGAATAGTACGTAGAAAGCGGAAGTTATAAGTTGAGACCTCAAAACTAAAAATGGCGACAAGGAATTGTGACAAACAATCTAGTATAAAGTAGCAGTTGGTATCCCCATGTGTAAGTAACCTCTGATGGCTGTTTTGAATGGGAAGCAATGTTATTTGTAAAATGAAGAAGAGACTCAACAGAGCCGCCTAGTAACGAGAAGATGCTCATTTAAAAGCGACAGATTGTAAATGACCATGTCGTCTACGGAGAAAATTATAGCGAGCTATTTTCCGAAGTAAAAATAAAGAATAAAAACTGTCAAATAATCTAGCTCTAGAGTCAGGGCATACTACCGATCAAAATTGTGTCCTACACAGTAGTTGCCGATTTTCTATTATGGATTGAGGAGGAAATTCACTTCCTGCCAAAGAATTATCTTGTCCCCTACATCCAACAGGTAAGTTCTCACCCCTGAGATGATGCTACAGATACACTCAGGTTAAATCAAAATCTCCACCGGGAGCAGAACAGAAGTATGCAGACAGAAACAAATATTCTACAACGAGAATATAGAAGACCATCATACAATAACAGTAAGCAATTTAAGTGCCTGAGATGTTAAACAACCGAAACAAATTCGTTCTCACTATTCAATACCTAACGGAAAAAGAAATTTATGACTTCATTCAGCTGATGAGGAGATAATGAGAAAAATGATCTAAGTTCAATTTGAGTAGCGTGCGAGTTCTTATTCATAAAGGATCTATGCATTATCTCAAAAGAGTCATCTAAAAAAACTATCTCGGAAAGCATAAGAGCAGCTGAAAACCGAAACAAATAATAACCAGCAAATTAAAATCAGAACACTTGCTGGATGTTAATCTACTCTTAATTGAAGCTGCATACGAAAAGCAATTTTTAAGAATATTCAATGTTTCCACATGTGGTTAGAAATTATCTGCATGAATGAACATGATTCGATGCCTTGTACTTAAGCTCGGCCAAGGAAATCTGATACGTCGTGAGAATCAAATTAAGATAGTAGGAAAATGTAATTTTTTTATCCCAAACTTAAGCAAAATCAAGAATATTGTTAAACATGATATCAGAAGCAAAAAAATCATGGCAGCTAAAGATCCCAGTTAAGATGCAGGTGAAATATGCCAAGCTCCTTACAGGTCGTTCTAAAAGATCGACCTTCTTTGGTTATTGGGGATGATTTAATTGAATCATTTGTTCCCAAACAAAGAATATATCAATGAGAACAATATAATTGCGATGCAATGACTCAATAGATTCAGGAAAACCTATTCAATAAATAAAAAGTAAAAGCAACTATCTCAAGATATCCATATTCACTATAGCCTGAAAGTCATAAAGTGAAAAGCGCATTTTTTGGGGAT